TTTTTTATCAACCCACAATTTTATAAATAGAAAGTTTCACAACTTAAGTCAATATTCAAAGCAGATCCTAAAAAAATCATTTAAGCTAAAATCTTATTAAAATGTTTATTAGATATCTTTTATTATGAAATGATTTATCAGTAGAGAAAATGACTTTGTAATGTCCTTTCATTCCATTAAATAAAATTTAGATGCTTTTCTTAGATATTTTTTTTTAAATAATAGTAAACATTACTGAGAAAACATTTGGTTTCAAAGGTCAAATACAGCTTAGAGTTTCAACACAATGAATAGTTATTTAAAAATATATATTCCATTTTCCCCTTTTACAAACATATTGTCATTTATTTATTTAAATTTCCCAGCAATACAGGTAATCACTCCCTTTCTGTTTAAAACTCTGGCACTAGCTGCCATCACCCATAATGTGGCGTTCTTAATGCTTTTGGAACAGGATTATTTATAAAACCATCTTCACAACTGATTCACCTCTTCTGCTTCACAGCTTAAGTACTCTATTTAAAAAGGAAAAACTATGGAAATAATCCCAAAGAGTAAACAGCCTATGGTCCTGTTTTTAGAAAAAAAGGAGAGGGGATTTTTCTCTAAGCATTCTGAACTTTATTTTTTTCCCTGTTATACACCAACAGTGATTTTATTTTTCATGTTTTGTTTCATAGCACTGCATTATGAAAACACCACATGCACTCACATGAGAGTCTGATCTACACTACTTCAAATAAAAGTCATATAATCACTTTTTGAGAAACCAAAAATAATTGTTAAACACCCAAGATCTTAAAAACAATATAAAGTGAAAAACAAAAGAGCTGTATCGTAGTGTCTGTGAGCAGTGAAAAGAGGAAGAAACAACAGGGGGAACAGTGACTCAATTTGGCAGAGTTCTTGTCCTAACATTTAAGCAGACCACCAGTTCCCCAAGGGGCTTTCCTAAAGGGATTTCTTCCTAGACCCAATCACCTCCTCTGTACCTTCTGCCTAGTCCAGTTTGTGGGCAAACTCTGGAGTACCTTTAATAACAACAGGTTTTACTCTTACCTGTCAAGCTCCTAATTATTCATATTAGTTCAGGGGTGAGGGAGGGATACTCAGTTATACTCTGCTCTCCTTTAATTCCACCTCTTAGATCTATTAAATTTTTAATGCTTTCAAATTTACCTTTTTATTCCATTCTATTGCTATCATTTTAATATTGATAAATAGTATTTGCTGCCTAAAATTTGTCAGAGGCTTAGAGTTCATTCAACATTTAGAAAATAATTTTATACCTGGATGTTTAGCCTCACTCTGTCCTGACTGATTGTAACCAGGGCAGTGTTAATCCCTCATGGTCCTTGACCTAACTGTTTGACAGCCCTACAATCTCGCAACCCAGAATAAATCCTGTGAAGTTTTGGTCAATTAAGGATGCTGCTTCCCCTTAATCAGGATTCTACTCTGCTGTTTAATAGAACCAGTTTCCCCTGAGAATTGTGCCTGTTTTTTGGATGCAGAGTTCTGTTACTTTCCATTGCTTTTTTTATGGAATATTGAATCTCAATAGTTTTTGAATGTCTTAGTTCCTGTCTGGGCCAATACCCCACTGACAAATTTGGAACTAAATCACAGCCACTACTTGACTTTAAACACCATCTACTAATACTAGTTATTCTGACCCTCCAAGTGGTTGTCTGCCTCTCACATTTTCAATAGCATGTCCATCCAGCCTGGTGTCACAGATAATTTCCCATTGCTGATTCTACAAAAGGTTCAATAGCCTCATTCTATATAGACCTAGCTTCCTTCTATTTTTAACTTCCCACAAAATGTTTTTTTTTTTTTTACAATTCTTCATTATGTCATCTCCTTCACAAAACCCAATGAAAAGATATCAGTATCTACGTTTTACTAAGGAGACAGTTTAAACTCTGAGATATTGCAGTGTAGGATGTACAAAAGGTCTCATGGCTAGACAGTGGCAGAATTGGAACCCAGACACAGGTCTTCCTAGTCCCAATCTCATATTGTCTGTACTATATTGGGTTTCCTTTTGTCACTGTTCATAAGGACTATTGCAAGACATGCATAACATACCTGTCCATCTTCTAAATCATCATATATATTACTAAGAATATTCTTTATTTTTTTTAAAGATTTATTTATGCATACAGAACAGGGGTACAGGCCAGAGGTGCAGGGGCTGTGAGAAGACTCACCAGAGACAGAGTGGGGAGCAGAACAGGATGACTGATGAAGTGCACTGCTGAGGGGAGCAGCAGGCAGGTCAGGAGAGGTCTGCCAAGCCATGTGGGTCACCTCTGGGGCTGGGGATTGAACTCATGCTAAAGTGGCTTTCTCAGTGCTGTGCTTAACCTGCTATGCCACCAGGGAGGGCCCTACTATATTTATTTTAAATACTTTTTTTTTTCTTTTAAGATGGTACTGTGTAACTATAAAGTGCAATTCAAATTTGAGGTAGAGTTAGAGCACTTGTGAACTATCAGGAATGGAGCTACCTCTGCCTTGAAGAAAGATAAAGTGGTTGAGTTACCTTAACTTCTACAAAGTAGGCGAAAATCCCAAGCTATCTTTACATTGATTAAAAATCTCAACCAATACTAAGACCAACTCTGATTGTAATGATTATCTATCTGCCAACTCTGCTTTTTTATTGCCAGGATGTTTTTAGAGGCTAATTTACTCTTCCTTTTGTGACAAAATAGCTAAAGTTTAACTATGTGGACTTGAAAGTTCTACACATCAGACCTTCCAGTAAAACACAAGAGACTTTACTGGCAATGTGTAATTAAAATAACACTAATCTTTCCAACGTCATGCTAAATGTATCAACATCACTTATTCAAGTCCATCAAAAATTCAGGCAAGAAAGACTATAGTTAGAAATTGCATTCCAGGGCCTTCCTGTGATACAGGAGTTAAATAAACAATGCTGTCAAGCTATTACCAGCCACTGAGACATGAGTTCTATCCCTGGCTGGTAGATAACCCACACGGTGGAGCAGAACTCTCGTGTCTGCCCCACTGTCCCCCTCAGCAGTGTATTTCAGTCAATCTGCCTGTTCTGCCCCCCACTCTGTCTCTGGCAGATCCTCTCACCCCCTACACCTCTGGTCTATAGCCAGTTTTTATGTGCATAAATAAATAAATAAATCTTAAAACCAACAAAAAAAATGCATTTGGAGGTTTCCCTAATATAAATAGAAAAATAAAATTTAACAATAAAATGTCCTTTTAAGTAAAACAATTTTATTTGTTCTGGTAGTCAACTACTCATTTTTTGAAAGGAAAATCTGTACTTATTTGTAACTAACAAAACAAATTTCAAAAAACCAATTAGTCATCTGGAAAATGTTTAACCAAACCTGTTACTATAGAGGGAAAAAAAATCCCAAAGGGGATAACCCAGAGAAATCTTTACTACTTACCGGTATAATTACAAAAATAACTGAAAATTCTTAATAGAATTAAGAATTCTTAAAACTAAGAATTTTCATTAAGCATTATTTTAATATTCTATTTAAATTACAATATACTGGGCCTCCCTGGTGGCACAGGAGTTAAAGACACAGTGCTATCAAGCTGTCTGCAGCATGAGTTCAATCCCTGGCCAGGGAAGTGACCCACATGGCGCAGCAGACCTCTCCTGTCTGACCCACTGCTCCCCTCAGCAGTGTATTTCAATAGATCTGCCTGTCCACCTCCCACTCTGTCTCTAGTGAATCATCTCAATTCTCACACCTCTGGTCTACACCACAATACATGTATACATGAATAAATATGAACAAATAAATTTTTAAAAATTAAATGAAATATACTGATTTGTTTACAAATAGTATCAAGTTACCTTCTATTTTCACTGCCATTCATTTTCCTATATTCTAAGACTAAAATCACATTTGCAGCATATCTTGAACCTAGTTACAAAATATTTACTATTTTTACATTACATTTTTTTCCGAAAACTAGACACATTGATATATAAAAATTCCTGCTATAATTAAATTTGTTACATTCCTCACTTGCATTTGGCCTTTTCACTGTATGTGGTGAGAGAACAAAATTGTATTTTTTCTCTGAGAAGCTTCATTAATTAGAAAACAAACCCTATTTGCTACTAAAAACAAATTCAATAACTCTTACTCTGTGTTTCTGAAAAGTATAATGTTTAAAGACAAATTTTAAATACCAAATGTCGGAAGAAAATAAGATTTCTTTCCTTTTAATAAATACCTAATGATTAACAGAAAGAGTTGGTTTAGGCGAAGTGTGTGTGTGTATGTGTGTGTATGTGTGTATGTATACATACGGCTATATATTATTCACTTTCATTTTAAGATTGTGTTTACAAAATATCATAAATACTTAATAGAAACTGTTTCTAGTGCTTCTAGCAAAAACCAGTAAAATGAAACATAAACGTTGCTGTGAAAGCCCAGGAGTTTTCCTTTATATTTCATCACTCCATTTTCTTACCCCCAGTTTAGGATAGCCCAGATTCTAATGAATCTCAACTGAATTCTAAACAGAAATATGGTGAGCTCCATTGAAACTACCAATTATTATAATGGAAAGAACAAGAGTAGTCAAATACCCAGCACAGGGATAGCTAAGAAATACCATATTTGGAAGAGGAAGTAATCACAAATGCCAATCCAAAGTATTATTTTACACTTTGCTTATAAAGCTGATAAAACATTCACGATAGCAAGCCAGTAAGGAAGCCCATGCTTAAAAAATGGGAGTGTTCCTAAAAAAGTTAATGAAAATCTTAAATTTGAAATCACAAACTCAGGCTCACAGTGTTCAATTTCTCAGAATTGATATCAAATCTCATTTGAAAAAAAAAAATCCAGATCTTTAAGGATTACACTGTGGTCTCCAAGATAATGACCTACTAACCTGGATAACAAGATTACTTCTTAAGTATAAAATATATCTAAAATTATGAGGCCTTCCTCCTGCCCCAAAGAAATACTCACAGAGTTGATTATTCCTTTAAGAGCTTGAAATCCGCCTGTAACAGGAAAAACTTGCTCCTTGGAATCAGCAATTCTTTCCAGCTTTAGAAAAAGGAGGAAATTTTAATAAAGAAATGGGTGAAAGAGACACAGCTCTTCGTACACATCATTCACTACATCTTAGCTACATTCTTCTGAAAAATTATACTCCAGGATTATATGGCTTGGAAAGATTTGAAAGTGATTCTCCTTTAATAAATGTTCCAAGAAATTTTGGGTTTTGTTTTCAGTCGCAAAATCTAACAAAAACAAATATTATTAACACATGATTCAAGACATGGGTTTTTTGTAGAAATTCCTTAATAAGTAATTAAATGTGTCGTAATAAGCCATCAGTGGAGTAACTTGATAAATATCCTTAAGATAATTATGTGACATAGTTAAAGTCTGAAGAGCTGCTATACTCACCTGAGCTTGCTCAAAGTCAAGAACACCAACACAATACACTCTAGCCCCAAGTGACCTGGATAACTTTGCCTTGAAAAAGGGAAGATGGAGGGAATGTACCAAAAGAGAGAGAAAAAGGTAAATTATTCAATTATCAGGCTACACATCAAAGGACAGTGGGGTGCAAAGAACAGTTTCAGTTCAATTCTCACCTCTTTTTCTGCATATTTTGGCACCAGACCATCCAGCTTACCATCTGTCAGAGCAATTATGATACTGGAGGTTTTAAAAGCTCCTGCTTTCTGAATTTGTTCATTTGCCTGAAAATGAATAATAATTATCCAACCCATAATTTCATCTTAACTTTTAACCAACATGTTCCAGCAAGCTGAACTTGTAAGCCTAACAAAATCAAAATATTATAGATAGGCTTAGAAAACACTGTTTTGTGCTTATTTTATTTGAAATATGCATATGTTCATATTACAGAAGAGTTGTTACTGGGTTGAAGTAATCAACAATTCAGCTTTGATTGAATAATTTGAACGTAACCACAGAGAAAGTGGAAAATCCCTTAAAAGGCAAAATGCTATCCAAATGTTTGTTATCACCACGGTATGCAATGTTTTCTTTCAATCTCATGCCCACAACTTAAGCCTTTAAAAAAAACCTTTAAGATAAATATGTAAGTGGACTGGGTTTTCCTAGAAAGATAATTTCTTTCAATACAGTATAAGAAAACATTCTCTCCCAACACATGAAGAACTTACTAGCTTTAGTCCTTCATGGATGTATGTCTCTCCTGCTGGCTTCACATTTTTTAAATCCTCCAAGCCTATGTCAATATTGCGTCTGAAAATAATGTATTATAATATTAAATGAAAGAAAAAAGATCATGCTAAGTACTTCTCAAACACATGGCAGTAATCGAGGAAAACTAAGTTTTCCTTGAGCAAAAAGGAAAGAACATGGGCTTTGAAGGCAGTTAGTTCCTCATATTTTTGTCCTTTTAATGAGTATGTCATAGCATTTGAATTTTAACTACAAAATATAAAAGCACTATCAGTGAGAAATGCCTTGAAATATCTAGGCATATTTTAGATATTTTGGTCTAAGAGCAGATATCTCATCATATTTTTGTTTTACTACATTAAGGGATAAAAACATTTCCATCAGGAAAAAGAAACTAGAATTGAGTAAGTCAGCTTAAGTGAAAAGGTATTTCTGAAGTACTCCCTACCAGGGAGGTGACCCACATGGCATGGCAGACCTCTCTTGTCTTGGCTCTCTGCTCCCCCCAGCAGTGTATTTCAGTCCATCTGCCTGTTCTGTTCCCTACCCTGTCTCTGGTGAGCCCTCTTATCCCTGTATATCTGGCCTGCAACCCAGCTCTTATATGCATGTATAATAAATCTTTAACAAAAAATAAAATACAAGAGTCAAAGTCCCACAGAATATTTAAGTAATGTAGAGTTAAATATAATAGTGTAACAGCCCAAAACAAATTAAAAGCTTTTTAACCTAAAAAGATCAACAGAAGATGGAAAAAAGGCACAAAATGATGTAAACATAAACTATTATAATAAAAAAGACAAATTTAAAAAAGATCAACAGAGATTTTTCTAATACATTATTTTCTGATTTTTTTAAATTTATTTATTTATGCATATAAAACTGGGGTACAGGCCAGAGGTGCAGGGATGGTGAAAGGATTCACCAGAGACAGAGTGGGGAGCAGAACAGACAGACTGAGAAAGTACACTGCTGAGGGGAGCAGTGGGCAAGACAGGAGAGGTCTGTTGGCCATGTGGGTCATCTCCCAGGACAGAAATCGAACTTGTGCTGAAACAGCTGCAGCTAGATCATAGTGCTGTGCTTTAACCTATTGCCCACCAGGGAGGGCCCTATTTTCAGAATTTTAATTTTTAAATAGAAGCAAAGAAAATGCCTTTCAACCTAAGGCTTGATATGGTAAATTGAAGTATAAAGCTTCAAATAAAACATGCAGAACACTCACACTAATGAGGTTAATAGACAAAAGGAAATTATAAAAAATCATATTATCTGAACATCAAAGAATTGGATGATAAACAAGCTTATATGTGTATATATGTACATATACAAACACACACACGCATATGTAGACATCTATAGATATTGTCTCTTTTCATACTGAATTTAAAATCTACCTATTCTGAACTCTTCCCTACATTCATTACATTCGTTTTTCTGAGGCTCCAAATATTATATCCATGTTCAGTTTTTACTACAATGAACTATTTTTTCTCTTACAATCTATCTTAAAATTAACTAATTCAATTTTATATTTTATTTCTGGAAGCTTACAGTTGGCTATCACTATATCTATTATTTTTTTTCTCACATTGGTCATTTTTTTTGTATAGTAATTTGGTTACTCTCCTCGGCTGTAGTCCCCATAGATCTCACACCACCATAACACCTGGAAGCCATCACTACAACCCCTTGGGCTCTACCCTCCCCTGCTTTGAACCCACTCTCTTCCCCAACCCTGCTGCTTGCCTTAGATCTATGGTCAGCTTGACAGTTGATTAATCTTAATCTGACCTCTTATTCTGCACTTATAATTTAGGACAAATCTTCAATCTTTAATCTTATAATCTTTCCAAAGTAAGTGTTCAATAAATCTTTCAAATCTGCCATAGGAAAAGTCATAATTCCACAGATGATGGAGTAAATTACACAATTTAAAAGCTTGTTATATCTAAATATTTACATTTAGTACCTATAGAAACAACATGAAACTGATTCTGCCTGGATGCAGAGAAAACCCAAATACTTGGTGCTTCCCAAAAATGAATGGCAGTGTGTCCTCAACCATTAATGTCTGCTGCCAAAAGGGAAATAAAAAATACAGCTGAAATTGCAGTTTATGTGACAGATTTGCAAGGTAAAAATATTCCTCTCCATTCGATTCAGATTCAGCTCACCATTACTTCTAGAACCAGATAGTTTGGCAGAAAAATCTAATTTGAAAGAATTTTCCAAGAAAGGAATTTGATACCTTTTGGAAAGATAGGTCTCTGCTAGCTTATTCACTAAAAGATCCACAGCATTTTTTAATTTCTAGCCATATCCAGACTTGACTACATAATATTGTCAGCAGTGAATCCCCACTATGCCTTTGCAGCTGCATAGTCATAGGAGAAAAAGTGCCCATGCCTACGGTCAGTAGCACCAAAGCCCGTGATTCCTGGCCTTGTCTCCTCCACTGGATGCACAGCCTGTCAGCTTGAAATATAGGAATGTAGGCGGTGGAATATTACTCAGCAATCAAAAAAGATAAACTCATGCATTTTGTAGCAACATGGATGGAGCTGGAAGGGCTTATGCTTAGTGAAATAAGACAGAAGGGAAAAAAAATGCCCAATAGTTTCACTCATCTCAGGGGTGGGGGGGTTATAATAATAATGAAGAACTATATACCAGAGATATTCATGGGGGTGGAGTGGGAAATGGGATCAAACATGGGGGCAGGGGGGGAAGTGCACTGTACTATGGTGATGCCACATGGGTGATTTGGTGATGGGAAGCCCACAGGGATTACAACAGAGATGGAAAAAGATACAAAATGTTGTAAAAATAAACCATTATATTATTAAATATAATGTGTGTGTGTGTGTGTGTGTGTGTGTGTGTGTGTGTGTGGATCTCAGGTCTTCAAAGAAGGCCAAGAAACTAAAAGTATGTCCTATATTTCTCTATTATAAATTATTATAAATAATTGGGGGGAAACAAAATGATGTAGTATGTTAGTATGTAAAACAATTCTTTTGGTCTATATTGTGAAGTTCAAAGGAAAGCAAGAGAGAAAATGATAAAAATAAAAAAAGTGAAAAAATGGAAATATTATAAAGAATAGTTTCAATCCAACATCATCTTTGAAAAACAGTTTCACTGAGTCTGCCTTTAACATTTTGTCTTCAACTGAAAGAAACAGTAATACAGAAACTTAGTGAAGCTCCCTCAGTGTTTGTTGTGAAGCTGTAGTCAAGGATGCTGCTTATCTTGACACACACTGTCCCTTATAAAGTCTAAAGCAGAAGTTTCTTTGACATCTGCACTAAGCCCTACACAGGTCGTTTCTGCTAACAATTACTAAGTAAACTGATTCTTGCCCTGACTAGCAAGAAGCTTCCCAGTAAACATCTTATTCAGTTACAAATTTGTGCTAAGTCCCCTGACCAACATATTGCTCCCCCAGGACCTTAACTTTTCTTTGTATACATTACTAATTTTCCAATGTTAATATGTTCCATGCAGTTTTAAATCCTTTTTGGAAAGAGGCAAAATTTAGATGAATAAAATTAAGCTATTAGCTTTTTTTAACTGAGAATCAAGGAATTAAATTCTAATCACTCTTTTTATTGATTGGATAAAAGAGGAAGGGGGCAAAGATACAATGTCTCATTTTTTATCTATAAAATTAATACTTTCAGTTCTTTAGCATGTTACATTCCCCTCAACCCCACCCCTTCCTGCTCAGGAGGGAAAAGAATTGCCAAGAAGGAACAGCAAAGGCTGGGACATAGTAACTACAAAAATCACGCACTGAGTTTTTCTCCATGCAAAAACAAATTTGATTGTGCAAACTGTGTATAGTATCAAAACTAAGATAAAGGTACACTTTATTAATAGTCACATAATGAAATGGTTGGCAGAGAAGTCTTACTTGCCCAAGTAACACAAATAAGACAAAGTTTATTCTAAATATCTTCTACTAAATATCTCTGCAGAACATAATCAGCACCATGTTCTTAAAATCTCTGCCCCAGGGGAAACATTTACCCCTCCCTCCTTGCCCCCTATTGGAACCTGCATTCTTGTGCATTCCTGTATATATAAGGTGTGGGGGGCCAATTGCCTTGGCCAAAAGCCAAGCTCACCATATTTAGGAAACCATGTAAAGATCAGCCAAACCAATCACTAGCTACCCCTTTGTCCTGAGGCCTGCTGTGCCAAAAAGTAACTATATGGTCTGCTCTTTCCTTTGTTCTGGGCCTTTCCTGCCACTCAGGTGCCTCTGGTGTGTGGTTAGGCCCAAGCTCCAGCTTGCAATAAAGTTTCCTCTTGTCTTTACAGCGATGTGGCTGGCTTTTTCTGGGTAGTGCATCCCGTTCTGGCATAACAATCTCCACAGCACCTGAACTTTCCAATGCCTATTGTTTGAACTTTCAAGATGTTACAACTCTTTCTAGATTGTATTCAGTCAATTTGCATACATTTTTCTGAGCATCTACACATTATTGTTCTAAATAATGCAAAGAGAATGACTCACACACAGCCAATGGTGACTCACTCACACATCTCTACAGATGCAGAGGAATTCTCCACTACAACCACAATCATTTTTAAAAGTTTCTTTTAGAGAAAAATACCAGATGATTTCACTCATAGCAGGAGCATAATGGACTAGGCAAGAAAATAATAAGAATAATGAACAGCCATATACCAGAGACATTTTGTGATAGTGGAGTGGAGAAGTGGGGAATGGGATCAAAAACGGGGGGTGGGGGGGGAGTGTGCACTGGACTATGGTGATGGCTCATGGGTGACTTGGTGACTTGGTAATGGAAAACCCATGGGGATTACAATTGAGATAAAAAAATGCACAAAATGATGTAAAAATAAACTATTATTTTAAAAAAGTTCCTTTTAAGCTGTAATTGAAGAGATTTTAATTTACTTGGCTTGTGGATCAAAGTATTTTTTTTGGGAAATCCCTAGAATGTTCTAGAATATAGTCATAATTAAGAACCTTTGACCAGGGCCCTCCCTGGTGGCACAGCAGGTTCAGCACTGAGAGGTTAAAG